TATACCTCTAACTTGTCCGAGTTTTAAAGAACTGATTTGCAAATTATGGTGGAAAAGAAGTATTTGGTCACCTCATTTTTTGCCCCACTGCGTAATATACAAAGATATTTGTGGCAACTCGATGTGCTTTGTCCACTTTTATTATCGGATTGCTCTGTTAACCAAAGGGAATACCTCAGTTTATTGTATGTTTGACTATAATTTACAAAAAGACTAAAGCATCATTTCTTATCTTTTCTACAATAACTATCAAATGAACAAATGGAGAGTGCTCGCTCAAGTCATGGATCAAGTGACTTAAAGGGCCGTTTTCAAAGAAAACTAAAAGTGTATAAGCAACCAAGGAAGTGAGTCCTACCTGGCCACTGGACAACATTCAGTGACAGTGCACTTGCTGGCATCTCCGGTGGGCAGAGCCCTGATTCAGTAGGGTGAATAAGGGATCTTGTCTCCTCCGTACTTAATGAGAGTGGTGTATCTGTCAGTCATGTCTGGCACATAAAACACCAGGTAGGTCCCATCATGGCTGTCACAGATATCTGCTTCTTGGGCTTCCCCTCTGGGTCCTTCAGGAGAAAACAAAAACTGTTACCTAAATATCAATGCTTTGAATACATTATTGTGTGGTCCACGTTCATGCACTCACAGTGATCTGCACTGCCAGCAGTCCCTCACCTGCATCTTTGGCATCAATGGTGACCTTCACTGGCAGAGAGGTGGGCGCTCCAGTGGTGTTAAGGCCGGATCCACTTGCACGCACCTTGCTGGTATCATGGGTGGGCAGCACCTTCACCTTGTAAGGGCGGACCAAAGGGGAGAGAAGACAACTGGCTGTGGAATACAGTCTCACAAATGAAAGGAGCCTTATTTACAGAACCGAGTAAACCACGCAAAGAGTTTTCCATTTTCAAAGCTGGCCAGAGTGGAACACTGTAACATGTAACACCTAGAAGGTTCAGATGGCTGCAGTACTTTGCTAATTTGGATCAAAAGTTTGGGGGAAAATGTAATTAAATTAAGTGATTGTAATGCTGTTACTTCCGTTGTGTAGTTAACCATCTATCATTTTAGATGTTTCATTAGCAGCCTGATGAAATTAGCTGTGTAGTTAGCCGACTTCTGCCATCCAAACAGATGAGGTGAATTATGCAGATCACTAGCACAGTACACAGATGACCACTTCTTATTCCAGCCAGACTTCAGGTACTTCATTCGAATCATGCAGTAACAACAAAGATTTATTACTACTGGCTTTTTAAATTGTGCTTCTTCTGTTCTAGAAAAACAGAAACATGTGATCACAGGGTTTTGTTTTTTTCAATGACATTTGTGTTGGTTGTGTCGGTTGCAGGCAAACATTTATCATAATGGTTAGATATTAGGAAATAGCTTAAAATGTGTGCATATTTAACTTGTTGCACTGCCGTAGTGTTACCTGCGTGGGATCTCCTCATGAGCATATGACTGTACCCTGGATGATGATATGTGAGGAGCTTGAACTTGATTCGCTAACAGAAACTCATTTGGCTAGCTTAGCGCACATGTCTTGTGGCAGATATATGCACTTAAATGTTTTAAGTCATTGGCTGTTCTGCAAAATTGCCACCAACCTGAACTTTGTGAGCTGACTGTTTCGCGATTTTTGTGTTTTAGACAACAAAAAGAAAAGAAAAAGATGTACAGATCCAGGCTTTTCCTTTACTGTGGTAGTCGCATAGAATGACGTCACTGACACTGGTTTAATATGAAAACAAACTTTGCAAAAAAAAGAAGAAGAAGAAGTGAGTCGGCGTGTCATCTTTATCGAGCCCATACATGTTTTGCTCACATTAAAATTATTATTTTGCCTTTTCAAAAATCATTTATATTCAGAGAAGTCAAAATATAGCAATTTGTACAGCTTACACGGCGGGCAGGTGGCGCAGAACACTTGCCGCCCCTGGCAACTTTGAAGCACAGACAGGCCCTGGTCGAGCCTCGGCTCGAACACTCACTGAGTTCAGGTCCTATCTGTGTCTTCAGTCTGCTAGGGGGATTCCTGGTCTGCGCAGGGAATCCCAATCCTTTTTTTTTCTTTCTTTTTTGGCTGTTGGGGCCTGTATTTACAAAGCTGGGACTATCTCCGTTGTCATGGCTACCAAGAACACGCCAGCTTGGGGGAGAGCGGAGAGCCCATAAGCAAACACTCATTCATCCTTTCTCCTCTTTCGTTTCACAGCTGCTGCGGTGGGAAACGCTGGCATTGTGTGGCTATGCAGTTTTTGCATTGTTGGCAACTTTAAGGACCAGCCTTGAATTTTACACATTTGATAAGTGAAGCCTGGATATATAGTGAAGAGAGCTGGGATAATCTGGACACAATCTGCAGGCTGCATCTCCAATCACAAGTGGCTTTAGATCTGACTCTTACAGACAGGCATGCATGTCTTAGGGTGATTACACACTAACACATTGTGATTAATCACACACATTTGTATACATTTTATTAACAAGATAATAAAAAAAAAAACATTATACAAAATGTGTTTTTGTGACAGGCCGCTAGTAACAAAGTGCTTCAAAGATTTCAAATTGGTTCTTTCCCAAGTTTCTGTTATGTGTACACATATTCCTTGAATTAGGTGCTTTTTAATTCTCCAATAATGGTCAGTGCAAAGTGTTTACACAAAAAACAAAACAAGTCTTACACAACAAACAAACAAAGAAAAAACATTACTCAGAAAATGGTCAGGTACAAGAACTGGATTAAAGGATTGGAAAAAACAGATAAGTCCAATGAAATACTTTAGCGTGTGGCTCATGACTTTTGCACAGTACTGTAATGTATTATAATGAAAGATATAAAATGTAGCTTCCCATTTTAAAATCCATACACATTATTCTTTTCTTCTAGTGAAGGCTCCCTCCTTCAGACTTAGGATAACTAATTTCTCAGACAGTGACATCACGGTGCGCTGGGAAGCTGCAGATGATGATGATGTTTCTTACCTCATTAAGTGGATCTCCTAAGTGAGGCGACCTGAGGCAGGTGGGGAAGAACTATTGAGTGTTGGAGTACATATTATGAAATAAAAAATACAATATCTCAATAAACTGTTGTCCTGTGTCTTAAGGATATCAATATCACTGTCTGCACTTATGGAGATGGAGCTCAGAGTGAAGCTGTGGCCGTACGCTATAGCACTGTGAGTCCACATTTAACTATATCAGCTGCTGGTGGAGCAGGCTCTCATGGATCTTTCTGGATATTTCAGCGGGGACATGCTGGGTCATTTGGAGCAGGTTAATTTTGTGCGCCACGTTCATAAATTTTGTTGTTAGGTCTGGAACCTTACCGGAGAAGGTACGGAGTCTAACTGGGACTGGAGTGTTTGACATCTTGCCTTCGTACGATATGCTCTACCACGACCTTCTGAATGTCAGTGGATTCAAATCACTTACTGAAAGGGACGCACAGGCTTAAGCAGACAAGAAGAAATCGGGTAAACCCTCAGCACTCATTTCTGTGTCCATTTTGGCTAAAAACAAAAACACCTATAACTACCTGGATGCTGGCTGAGCTCTGAAGGTTGAGTGATATGTATTAAGCAGGTAGTCAGAGTTCTCATTGATCATTCCTTGAGGAAGTGTATCACAGGCCTTACTGATGTCCTACATGGAGTCAGCGCCGCTGGCTCACAGCAGTGTCTCCTCACAGCTTTCTAGCACAGGATACAGCGAGGCATCAACAAGGCACAGAAATTGCGGCCCACTGGCTGAGCACAGCAGGCGATTCCCCCGAGTGGATGCACGTGACAGATGTTGCTGTTGAGCTAATGGATCATGGATGCAGATGTTGATGATGAAGGAATCATTGGAGAGAGCTTGTATTTGAGTTGCTGGCTCACTGTTGTATATCGAGGGGAGTCTGGATGGACCGAGCAGTACGCAAAGAGACAACCTGTGTTAAAGCACTGCTTTTAACCACTTTTACACATGCACTGCAGCTCTGAAGTTTTCAAGATATTGTCCATGCAGTGAGAACGCAATTCTGACACAGTTAGATCAAACATTAAACAGCCTTTAGCCTTCCTGCTCCTGAGTGAAAGCCTGTATTATATCTGACTGTGCTCATTGGGGATAAGACAGATTAGCCTTTTCTCAAAGTGAAGAGTGGGGGCCAATTAGGATCTCACTCAAATTTAAAATACAAGGGAACTGATGTATTCCTTAAATAAACAAAAACCACAAGCGCTTATAAATGCTCATCTACCAGTCATATGCAAAGTGTTAGAATCAACGTGTGATCCACCTGCCACTAAGAGATATTATTTCTCTTTGGTAGATGGAAAAAAGGAATCAAATCACTGTCAGTAGCTACAACAGCACATTTGTTATAATATGAATCAAGCATTTAGATATTAAATAGTATGAGGGAGACAGGATCAAATACAGTGGGGCAAAAGTATTTAGTCAGCACCATTTGTGACGTTTCCACTTAAAAATATGAGAGAGCCTGTCATTTTCATCATAGGTATACCTAACTTGTCCGAGTTTTAAAGAACTGATTTGCATTATGGTGGAAAAGAAGTATTTGGTCACCTATTTGCCCCACTGCGTAATATACAAGATATTTGTGGCAACTCGATGTGCTTTGTCCACTTTTATTATCGGATTGCTCTGTTAACCAAAGGGAATACCTCAGTTTATTGTATGTTTGACTATAATTTACAAAAAGACTAAAGCATCATTTTTATTTTCTACAATAACTATCAAATGAACAAATGGAGAGTGCTCGCTCAAGTCATGGATCAAGTGACTTAAAGGGCCGTTTTCAAAGAAACTAAAAGTGTATAGCAACCAAGGAAGTGAGTCTACCTGGCACTGGACAACATTCAGTGACAGTGCACTTGCTGGCATCTCCGGTGGGCAGAGCCTGATTCAGTAGGGTGAATAAGGGATCTTGTCTCTCCGTATTAATGAGAGTGTGTATCTGTCAGTCATGTCTGGCACATAAAACACAGGTAGGTCCCATCATGGCTGTCACAGATATCTGCTTCTTGGGCTTCCCCTCTGGGTCCTTCAGGAGAAAACAAAAACTGTTACCTAAAATCATGCTTGAATACATTATTGTGTGGTCACGTTCATGCACTCACAGTGATCTGCACTGCAGAGTCCCTCACCTGCATCTTTGGCATCAATGGTGACCTCACTGGCAGAGAGGTGGGCGCTCCAGTGTGTTAAGGCCGGATCCACTTGCACGCACTTGCTGGTATCATGGGTGGGCAGCACCTTCACCTTGTAAGGGCGGACCAAAGGGGAGAGAAGACAACTGGCTGTGGAATACAGCTCACAAATGAAAGGAGCCTTATTTACAGAACGAGTAAACCACGCAAAGAGTTTTCCATTTCAAAGCTGGCCAGAGTGGAACACTGTAACATGTAACACCTAGAAGGTTCAGATGGCTGCAGTACTTTGTAATTTGGATCAAAGTTTGGGGGGAAAATGTAATTAAATCAAGTGATTGTAATGCTGTTACTTCGTTGTGTAGTTAACATCTATCATTTTAGATGTTTCATTAGCAGCCTGATGAAATTAGCTGTGTAGTTAGCCGACTTCTGCCATCCAACAGATGAGGTGAATTATGCAGATCACTAGCACAGTACACAGATTACCACTCTTATTCCAGCCAGACTCAGGTACTTCATTCGAATCATGCAGTAACAACAAAGATTTATTACTACTGGCTTTTTAAATTGTGCTTCTTCTGTTCTAGAAAAAACAGAAACATGTGATCACAGGGTTTTGTTTTTTTCAATGACATTTGTGTTGGTTGTGTCGGTTGCAGGCAAACATTTATCATAATGGTTAGATATTAGGAAATAGCTTAAAATGTGTGCATATTTAACTTGTTGCACTGCCGTAGTGTTACCTGCGTGGGATCTCCTCATGAGCATATGACTGTACCCTGGATGATGATATGTGAGGAGCTTGAACTTGATTCGCTAACAGAAACTCATTTGGCTAGCTTAGCGCACATGTCTTGTGGCAAGATATATGCACTTAAATGTTTTAAGTCATTGGCTGTTCTGCCAAATTGCCACCAACCTGCAACTTTGTGAGCTGACTGTTTCGCGATTTTTGTGTTTTAGACAACAAAAGAAAAGAAAAAGATGTACAGATCCAGGCTTTTCCTTTACTGTGGTAGTCGCATAGAATGACGTCACTGACACTGGTTTAATATGAAAACAAACTTTGCAAAAAAAAGAAAGAAGAAGAAGTGAGTCGGCGTGTCATCTTTATCGAGCACCAACATGTTTGCCTCACATTAAAATTATTATTTGCCTTTTCAAAATCATTTATATTCAGAGAAGTCAAATATAGCAAATTTGTACAGCTTACACGGCGGGGCAGTGGCGCAGAACACTTGCCGGCCCCTGGCAACTTGGAAGCACAGACAGGCCCTGGCTCGAGCCTCGGCTCGAACACACTCACTGAGTTCAGGTCCTATCTGTGTCTTCATCTGCTAGGGGATTCCTGGGCTGCGCAGGGAATCCCAATCCTTTTTTTTTCTTTTCTTTTTTGGGCTGTTGGGGCCTGTATTACAAAGCTGGGACTATCTCCGTTGTCATGGCTACCAAGACAACGCCAGCTTGGGGGAGAGCGGAGAGCCCATAAGCAAACACTCATTCATCCTTTCTCCTCTTTCGTTTCACAGCTGCTGCGGTGGGAAACGCTGGGACTTGTGTGGCTATGCAGTTTTTGCATTGTTGGCAACTTTTAAGGACCAGCCTTGAATTTTACACATTTGATAAGTGAAGCCTGGATATATAGTGAAGAGAGCTGGGATAATCTGGACACAATCTGCAGGCTGCATCTCCAAATCACAAGTGGCTTTAGATCTGACTCTTACAGACAGGCATGCATGTCTTAGGGTGATTACACACTAACACATTGTGATTAATCACACACATTTGTATACATTTTATTAACAAGATAATAAAAAAAAAAACATTATACAAAATGTGTTTTTGTGACAGGCCGCTAGTAACAAAGTGCTCAAAGATTTCAAATTGGTTCTTTCCCAAGTTTTCTGTTATGTGTACACATATTCCTTGAATTAGGTGCTTTTTAATTCTCCAATAATGGTCAGTGCAAAGTGTTTACACAAACAAACAAAACAAGTCTTTACACAAACAAACAAACAAAGAAAAAACATTACTCAGAAAATGGTCAGGTACAAGAACTGGATTAAAAAGGATTGGAAAAAACAGATAATGTCCAATGAAATACTTTAGCGTGTGGCTCATGACTTTTGCACAGTACTGTAAATGTTATTAATAATGAAAGATATAAAGATGTAGCTTTCCCATTTTTAAAAAATTCCCATACACATTATTCTTTTCTTCTAGTGAAGGTGCCTCCTCCTTCAGACCTTAGGATAACTAATTTCTCAGACAGTGACATCACGGTGCGCTGGGAAGCTGCAGATGATGATGATGTTTCTTACCTCATTAAGTGGATCTCCCTAAGTGGAGGCGACCTGAGGCAGGTGGGGAAGAACTATTGAGTTGTTGGAGTACATATTATGAAATAAAAAATACAATATCTCAATAAACTGTTGTCCTGTGTCTTAAGGAGTATCAGATATCACTGTCTGCACTCTATGGAGATGGAGCTCAGAGTGAAGCTGTGGCCGTACGCTATAGCACCTGTGAGTCACACATTTTAACTATATCAGCTGCTGGTGGGAGCAGGCTCTCATGGATCTTTCTGGATATTTGCAGCGGGGACATGCTGGGGTCATTTTGGAGCAGGTTAATTTGTGTGCGCCACGTGTCATAATCAGTTTTGTTGTTAGGTCTGGGAACCTTACCGGAGAAGGTACGGAGTCTAACCTGGGACTGGATGTGTTTGACATCTTGCCTTCGTACGATATGCTCTACCACGACCTTCTGAATGTCAGGTGGATTCAAATCACTTACTGAAAGGGACGCACAGGCTTAAGCAGACAAAGAAGGAAATCGGGTAAACCCTCCAGCACTCATTTCTGTGTCCATTTTGGGCTAAAAACAAAAACACCTCATAACTACCTGTGGATGCTGGCTGAGCCTCTGAAGGTTGAGTGATATGTCATTAAGCAGGTAGTCAGAGTTCTCATTGATCAGTTCCTTGAGGGAAGTGTATCCACAGGCCTTACTGATGTCCTACATGGAGCTCAGCGCCGCCTGGCTCACCAGCAGTGTCTCCTCACCAGCTTTCTCCAGCACAGGATACAGCGAGGCCATCAACAAGGCACAGAAATTGCGGCCCACTGGCTGAGCACAGCAGGCGATTCCCCCGAGTTGGATGCACAGCTGACAGATGTTGCTGTTGAGCTAATGGATCATGGATGCAGATGTTGATGATGAAGGAATCACTTGGAGAGAGCTTGTATTTGAGTTGCTGGCATCACTGTTGTATATCGAGGGGAGTCTGGATGGACCGAGCAGCTACGCAAAGAGACAAAACCTGTGTTAAAGCACTGCTTTCTAACCACTTTTACACATGCACTGCAGCTCTGAAGTTTTCAAGATATTGTCCATGCACGTGAGAACGCAAATGTCTGACACAGTTAGATCAAACATTAAACAGCCTTAGCCTTCCTGCTCCTGAGTGAAAGCCGTATTATATCTGACTGTGCTCATGTGGGGATAAGACAGATTAGCCTTTTCTCAAAGTGAAGAGTGGGGGCCAATTTAGGATCTTCACTCAAATTTAAATACAAGGGAAACTGATGTATTTCCTTAAATAAACAAAACACACAAGCGCTTATATAAATGCTCATCCTACCCAGTCATATGCAAAGTGTTAGAATCAACGTGATCCACCTGCACTAAGAGATATTATTTCTCTTTGGTAGATGGAAAAAATGGAATCAAACTCACTGTCAGTAGCTACAACAGCAATTGTTTATAATATGATGAATCAAGCATTTAGATATTAAATAGTATTGAGGGAGACAGATCAAATACAGTGGGGCAAAAAGATATTTAGTCAGCCACCATTTGTGCACGTTCTCCACTTAAAAATATGAGAGAGGCCGTCATTTTCATCATAGGTATACCTCTAACTTGTCCCGAGTTTTAAAGAACTGATTTGCAAATTATGGTGGAAAAGAAGTATTTGGTCACCTCATTTTTTGCCCCAACTGGCGTATATACAAAGATTATTTGTGGCAACTCGATGTGCTTTGTCCACTTTATTATCGGATTGCTCTGTTAACCAAAGGAATACCTCAGTTTATTGTATGTTTGACTATAATTTACAAAAAGACTAAAGCATCATTTCTTATCTTTTCTAACAATAACTATCAAATGAACAAAATGAGAGTGCTACGCTCAAGTCATGGATCAAGTGACTTAAAGGGCCGTTTTCAAAGAAACTAAAAGTGTATAAGCAACCAAGGAAGTGAGTCCTACCTGGCCACTGGACAACATTCAGTGACAGTGCACTTGCTGGCATCTCCGGTGGGCAGAGCCCTGATTCAGGTAGGGTGAATAAGGGATCTTGTCTCCTCCGTACTTAATGAGAGTGGTGTATCTGTCAGTCATGTCTGGCAACATAAAACACCAGGTAGGTCCCATCATGGCTGTCACAGATATCTGCTTCTTGGGCTTCCCCTCTGGTCCTTCAGGAGAAAACAAAAACTGTTACCTAAATATCAATGCTTTGAATACATTATTGTGTGGTCCACGTTCATGCACTCACAGTGATCTGCACTGCCAGCAGTCCCTCACCTGCATCTTTGGCATCAATGGTGACCTTCACTGGCAGAGAGGTGGGCGCTCCAGTGGTGTTAAGGCCGGATCCACTTGCACGCACCTTGCTGGTATCATGGGTGGGCAGCACCTTCACCTTGTAAGGGCGGACCAAAGGGGAGAGAAGACAACTGGCTGTGGAATACAGTCTCACAAATGAAAGGAGCCTTATTTACAGAACCGAGTAAACCACGCAAAGAGTTTCCATTTCAAAGCTGGCCAGAGTGGAACACTGTAACATGTAACACCTAGAAGGTTCAGATGGCTGCAGTACTTGCTATTTGGATCAAATGTTTGGGGGAAAATGTAATTAAATCAAGTGATTGTAATGCTGTTACTTCCGTTGTGTAGTTAACCATCTATCATTTTAGATGTTTCATTAGCAGCCTGATGAAATTAGCTGTGTAGTTAGCCGACTTCTGCCATCCAAACAGATGAGGTGAATTATGCAGATCACTAGCACAGTACACAGATACCACTTCTTATTCCAGCCAGACTTCAGGTACTTCATTCGAATCATGCAGTAACAACAAAGATTTATTACTACTGGCTTTTTAAATTGTGCTTCTTCTGTTCTAGAAAAACAGAAACATGTGATCACAGGGTTTTGTTTTTTCAATGACATTTGTGTTGGTTGTGTCGGTTGCAGGCAAACATTTATCATAATGGTTAGATATTAGGAAATAGCTTAAAATGTGTGCATATTTAACTTGTTGCACTGCCGTAGTGTTACCTGCGTGGGATCTCCTCATGAGCATATGACTGTACCCTGGATGATGATATGTGAGGAGCTTGAACTTGATTCGCTAACAGAAACTCATTGGCTAGCTTAGCGCACATGTCTTGTGGCAAGATATATGCACTTAAATGTTTTAAGTCATTGGCTGTTCTGCCAAATTGCCACCAACCTGCAACTTTGTGAGCTGACTGTTTCGCGATTTTTGTGTTTTAGACAACAAAAGAAAAGAAAAAGATGTACAGATCCAGGCTTTTCCTTTACTGTGGTAGTCGCATAGAATGACGTCACTGACACTGGTTTAATATGAAAACAAACTTTGCAAAAAAAAAGAAAGAAGAAGAAGTGAGTCGGCGTGTCATCTTTATCGAGCACCATACATGTTTTGCCTCACATTAAAATTATTATTTTGCCTTTTCAAAAATCATTTATATTCAGAGAAGTCAAATATAGCAAATTTGTACAGCTTACACGGCGGCAGGTGGCGCAGAACACTTGCCGGCCCCTGGCAACTTGAAGCACAGACAGGCCCTGGCTCGAGCCTCGGCTCGAACACACTCACTGAGTTCAGGTCCTATCTGTGTCTTCAGTCTGCTAGGGGATTCCTGGGCTGCGCAGGGAATCCCAATCCTTTTTTTTTTCTTTTCTTTTTGGCTGTTGGGGCCTGTATTTACAAAGCTGGGACTATCTCCGTTGTCATGGCTACCAAGAACAACGCCAGCTTGGGGAGAGCGGAGAGCCCATAAGCAAACACTCATTCATCCTTTCTCCTCTTTCGTTTCACAGCTGCTGCGGTGGGAAACGCTGGGACTTGTGTGGCTATGCAGTTTTTGCATTGTTGGCAACTTTTAAGGACCAGCCTTGAATTTTACACATTTGATAAGTGAAGCCTGGATATATAGTGAAGAGAGCTGGGATAATCTGGACACAATCTGCAGGCTGCATCTCCAAATCACAAGTGGCTTTAGATCTGACTCTTACAGACAGGCATGCATGTCTTAGGGTGATTACACACTAACACATTGTGATTAATCACACACATTTGTATACATTTATTAACAAGATAATAAAAAAAAAACATTATACAAAATGTGTTTTTGTGACAGGCCGCTAGTAACAAAGTGCTCAAAGATTTCAAATTGGTTCTTTCCAAGTTTTCTGTTATGTGTAACATATTCCTTGAATTAGGTGCTTTTTAATTCTCCAATAATGGTCAGTGCAAAGTGTTTACACAAACAAACAAAACAAGTCTTTACACAAACAAACAAACAAAGAAAAAACATTACTCAGAAAATGGTCAGGTACAGAACTGGATTAAAAAGGATTGGAAAAACAGATAATGTCCAATGAAATACTTTAGCGTTGGCTCATGACTTTTGCACAGTACTGTAAATGTTATTAATAATGAAAGATATAAAGATGTAGCTTTCCCATTTTTAAAAAATTCCCATACACATTATTCTTTTCTTCTAGTGAAGGTGCCTCCTCCTTCAGACCTTAGGATAACTAATTTCTCAGACAGTGACATCACGGTGCGCTGGGAAGCTGCAGATGATGATGATGTTTCTTACCTCATTAAGTGGATCTCCCTAAGTGGAGGCGACCTGAGGCAGGTGGGGAAGAACTATTGAGTTGTTGGAGTACATATTATGAAATAAAAAATACATATCTCATAAACTGTTGTCCTGTGTCTTAAGGAGTATCAGATATCACTGTCTGCACTCTATGGAGATGGAGCTCAGAGTGAAGCTGTGGCCGTACGCTATAGCACTGTGAGTCACACATTTTAACTATATCAGTGCTGGTGGAGCAGGCTCTCATGGATCTTTCTGGATATTTGCAGCGGGGACATGCTGGGGTCATTTTGGAGCAGGTTAATTTGTGTGCGCCACGTGTCATAATCATTTTGTTGTTAGGTCTGGGAACCTTACCGGAGAAGGTACGGAGTCTAACCTGGGACTGGATGTGTTTGACATCTTGCCTTCGTACGATATGCTCTACCACGACCTTCTGAATGTCAGGTGGATTCAAATCACTTACTGAAAGGGACGCACAGGCTTAAGCAGACAAAGAAGGAAATCGGGTAAACCTCCAGCACTCATTCTGTGTCCATTTTGGGCTAAAACAAAAACCCTATAACTACCTGTGGATGCTGGCTGAGCCTCTGAAGGTTGAGTGATATGTCATTAAGCAGGTAGTCAGAGTTCTCATTGATCAGTTCCTTGAGGGAAGTGTATCACAGGCCTTACTGATGTCCTACATGGAGCTCAGCGCCGCCTGGCTCACCAGCAGTGTCTCCTCACCAGCTTTCTCCAGCACAGGATACAGCGAGGCCATCAACAAGGCACAGAAATTGCGGCCCACTGGCTGAGCACAGCAGGCGATTCCCCGAGTTGGATGCACAGCTGACAGATGTTGCTGTTGAGCTAATGGATCATGGATGCAGATGTTGATGATGAAGGAATCACTTGGAGAGAGCTTGTATTTGAGTTGCTGGCATCACTGTTGTATATCGAGGGGAGTCTGGATGGACCGAGCAGCTACGCAAAGAGACAAAACCTGTGTTAAAGCACGCTTTCTAACCACTTTTACACATGCACTGCAGCTCTGAAGTTTTCAAGATATTGTCCATGCACGTGAGAACGCAAATGTCTGACACAGTTAGATCAAACATTAAACAGCCTTAGCCTTCCTGCTCCTGAGTGAAAGCCTGTATTATATCTGACTGTGCTCATGTGGGGATAAGACAGATTAGCCTTTTCTCAAGTGAAGAGTGGGGGCCAATTTAGGATCTTCACTCAAATTAAAATACAAGGAAACTGATGTATTTCCTTAAATAAACAAAAACCACACAAGCGTTATAAATGCTCATCCTACCAGTCATATGCAAAGTGTTAGAATCAACGTGTGATCCACCTGCCACTAAGAGATATTATTCTCTTGGTAGATGGAAAAATGAATCAAACTCACTGTCAGTAGCTACAACACACATTTTATAATATGATGAATCAGCATTTAGATATAAATAGTATTGAGGGAAACAGGATCAAATACAGTGGGGCAAAAAAGTATTTAGTCAGCCACCATTTGTGCACGTTCTCCCACTTAAAATATGAGAGAGGCCTGTCATTTTCATCATAGGTATACCTCTACTTGTCCGAGTTTTAAAGAACTGATTTGCAATTATGGTGGAAAAGAAGTATTGGTTCACCTCATTTTTGCCCCACTGCGTATATACAAAGATATTTGTGGCAACTCGATGTGCTTTGTCCACTTTTATATCGGATTGCTCTGTTAACAAAGGATACCTCAGTTTATTGTATGTTGACTATAATTTACAAAAAACTAAAGCATCATTCTTATCTTTTCTACAATAACTATCAAATGAACAAATGGAGATGCTCGCTCAAGTCATGGATCAAGTGACTTAAAGGGCCGTTTTCAAAGAAAAATAAAAGTGTATAAGCAACCAAGGAAGTGAGTCCTACCTGGCCACTGGACAACATTCAGTGACAGTGCACTGCTGCATCTCCGGTGGCAGAGCTGATTCAGTAGGGTGAATAAGGGATCTTGTCTCCTCCGTACTTAATGAGAGTGGTGTATCTGTCAGTCATGTCTGGCACATAAAACACCAGGTAGGTCCCATCATGGCTGTCACAGATATCTGCTTCTTGGGCTTCCCCTCTGGGTCCTTCAGGAGAAAACAAAAACTGTTACCTAAATATCAATGCTTTGAATACATTATTGTGTGGTCCACGTTCATGCACTCACAGTGATCTGCACTGCCAGCAGTCCCTCACCTGCATCTTTGGCATCAATGGTGACCTTCACTGGCAGAGAGGTGGGCGCTCCAGTGGTGTTAAGGCCGATCCACTTGCACGCACCTTGCTGGTATCATGGTGGGCAGCACCTTCACCTTGTAAGGCGGACCAAAGGGAGAGAAGACAACTGGCTGTGGAATACAGTCTACAATGAAAGGAGCCTTATTACAGAACCGAGTAAACCACGCAAAGAGTTTCCATTTTCAAAGCTGGCCAGAGTGGAACACTGTAACATGTACACCTAGAAGGTTCAGATGGCTGCAGTACTTGCTAATTTGGATCAAATGTTTGGGGGGAAAATGTAATTAAATCAAGTGATGTAATGCTGTTACTTCCGTGTGTAGTTAACCATCTATCATTTTAGATTTTCATTAGCAGCCTGATGAATTAGCTGTGTAGTTAGCCGACTTCTGCATCCAAACAGATGAGGTGAATTATGCAGATCACTAGCACAGTACACAGATACCACTTCTTATTCCAGCCAGACTTCAGGTACTTCATTCGAATCATGCAGTAACAACAAAGATTTATTACTACTGGCTTTTTAAATTGTGCTTCTTCTGTTCTAGAAAAACAGAAACATGTGATCACAGGGTTTTTTTTTTTCAATGACATTTGTGTTGGTTGTGTCGGTTGCAGGCAAACATTTATCATAATGGTTAGATATTAGGAAATAGCTTAAAATGTGTGCATATTTAACTTGTTGCACTGCCGTAGTGTTACCTGCGTGGGATCTCCTCATGAGCATATGACTGTACCCTGGATGATGATATGTGAGGAGCTTGAACTTGATTCGCTAACAGAAACTCATTTGGCTAGCTTAGCGCACATGTCTTGTGGCAAGATATATGCACTTAAATGTTTTAAGTCATTGGCTGTTCTGCCAAATTGCCACCAACCTGCAACTTTGTGAGCTGACTGTTTCGCGATTTTTGTGTTTTAGACAACAAAAAAAAGAAAAAGATGTACAGATCCAGGCTTTTCCTTTACTGTGGTAGTCGCATAGAATGACGTCACTGACACTGGTTTAATATGAAAACAAACTTTGCAAAAAAAAGAAAGAAGAAGAAGTGAGTCGGCGTGTCATCTTTATCGAGCACCATACATGTTTTGCCTCACATTAAAATTATTATTTTGCCTTTTCAAAAAATTTTATATTCAGAGAAGTCAAATATAGCAAATTTGTACAGCTTACACGGCGGGCAGGTGGCGCAGAACACTTGCCGGCCCCTGGCAACTTGAAGCACAGACAGGCCCTTCGAGCCTCGGCTCGAACACACTCACTGAGTTCAGGTCCTATCTGTGTCTTCAGTCTGCTAGGGGGATTCCTGGTCTGCGCAGGGAATCCCAATCCTTTTTTTTTCTTTTCTTTTTTGGCTGTTGGGGCCTGTATTTACAAAGCTGGGACTATCTCCGTTGTCATGGCTACCAAGAACAACGCCAGCTTGGGGGAGAGCGGAGAGCCATAAGCAAACACTCATTCATCCTTTCTCCTCTTTCGTTTCACAGCTGCTGCGGTGGGAAACGCTGGGACTTGTGTGGCTATGCAGTTTTTGCATTGTTGGCAACTTTTAAGGACCAGCCTTGAATTTTACAGATTTGATAAGTGAAGCCTGGATATATAGTGAAGAGAGCTGGGATAATCTGGACACAATCTGCAGGCTGCATCTCCAAATCACAAGTGGCTTAGATCTGACTCTACAGACAGGCATGCATGTCTCAGGGTGATTACACACTAACACATTGTGATTAATCACACACATTTGTATAAATTTTATTAACAAGATAAAAAAAAAAACACTATACAAAATGTGTTTTTGTGACAGGCCGCTAGTAACAAAGTGCTTAAAGATTTCAAATTGGTTCTTTCCCAAGTTTTCTGTTATGTGTACACATATTCCTTGAATTAGGTGCTTTTTAATTCTCCAATAATGTCATGCAAAGTGTTACACAAACAAACAAACAAACAAACAAGTGTTTACACAAACAAACAAACAAAAAAAACATACTCAGAAAATGGTCAGGTACAAGAACTGGATTAAAAAGGATTGGAAAAAACAGATAATGTCCAATGAAATACTTTAGCGTGGGCTCATGACTTTTGCACAGTACTGTAAAGTTATAATAATGAAAGATATAAAGATGTAGCTTCCCATTTTAAAAAATTCCCATACACATTATTCTTTCTTCTAGTGAAGGTGCCTCCTCCTTCAGACCTTAGGATAACTAATTTCTCAGACAGTGACATCACGGTGCGCTGGAAGCTGCAATGATGATGATGTTTCTTACCTCATTAAGTGGATCTCCCTAAGTGGAGGCGACCTGAGGCAGGTGGGGAAGAACTATTGAGTTGTTGGATACATATTATGAAATAAAAAATACAATATCTCAATAAACTGTTGTCCTGTGTCTTAAGGAGTATCAGATATCACTGTCTGCACTCTATGGAGATGGAGCTCAGAGTGAAGCTGTGGCCGTACGCTATAGCACCTGTGAGTCACACATTTTAACTATATCAGCTGCTGGTGGGAGCAGGCTCTCATGGATCTTTCTGGATATTTGCAGCGGGGACATGCTGGGGTCATTTGGAGCAGTTAATTTGTGTGCGCCACGTGTCATAATCAGTTTTGTTGTAGGTCTGGGAACCTTACCGGAGAAGGTACGGAGTCTAACCTGGGACTGGATGTGTTGACATCTTGCCTTCGTACGATATGCTCTACCACGACCTTCTGAATGTCAGGTGGATTCAAATCACTTACTGAAAGGGACGCACAGGCTTAAGCAGACAAAGAAGGAAATCGGGTAAACCCTCCAGCACTCATTTCTGTGTCCATTCTGGGCTAAAAACAAAAACACCTCATAACTACCTGTGGATGCTGGCTGAGCCTCTGAAGGTTGAGTGATATGTCATTAAGCAGGTAGTCAGAGTTCTCATTGATCAGTTCCTTGAGGGAAGTGTATCCACAGGCCTTACTGATGTCCTACATGGAGCTCAGCGCCGCCTGGCCACCAGCAGTGTCTCCTCACCAGCTTTCTCCAGCACAGGATACAGCGAGGCCATCAACAAGGCACAGAAATTGCGGCCCACTGGCTGAGCACAGCAGGCGATTCCCCCGAGTTGGATGCACAGCTGACAGATTTGCTGTTGAGCTAATGGATCATGGATGCAGATGTTGATGATGAAGGAATCACTTGGAGAGAGCTTGTATTTGAGTTGCTGGCATCACTGTTGTATATCGAGGGAGTCTGGATGGACCGAGCAGCTACGCAAAGAGACAAAACCTGTGTTAAAGCACTGCTTTCTAACCACTTTTACACATGCACTGCAGCTCTGAAGTTTTCAAGATATTGTCCATGCACGTGAGAACGCAAATGTCTGACACAGTTAGATCAAACATTAAACAGCCTTTAGCCTTCCTGCTCCTGAGTGAAAGCCTGTATATATCTGACTGTGCTCATGTGGGGATAAGACAGATTAGCCTTTTCTCAAAGTGAAGAGTGGGGCCAATTTAGGATCTTCACTCAAATTTAAAATACAAGGGAAACTGATGTATTTCCTTAAATAAACAAAAACCACACAAGCGCTTATAAAATGCTCATCCTACCCAGTCATATGCAAAGTGTTAGAATCAACGTGTGATCCACCTGCCACTAAGAGATATTATTTCTCTTTGGTAGATGGAAAAAATGGAATCAAACTCACTGTCAGTAGCTACAACAGCACATTTGTATAATATGATGAATCAAGCATTTAGATATTAAATAGTATTGAGGGAGACAGGATCAAATACAGTGGGGCAAAAAAGTATTTAGTCAGCCACCAATTGTGCACGTTCTCCCACTTAAAAATATGAGAGAGGCCTGTCATTTCATCATAGGTATACCTCTAACTTGTCCGAGTTTTAAAGAACTGATTGCAAATTATGGTGGAAAGAAGTATTTGGTCACCTCATTTTTGCCCCACTGCGTAATATACAAAGATATTTGTGGCAACTCGATGTGCTTTGTCCACTTTTATTATCGGATTGCTCTGTTAACCAAAGGGAATACCTCAGTTTATTGTATGTTTGACTATAATTTACAAAAAGACTAAAGCATCATTTCTTATCTTTCTACAATAACTATCAAATGAACAAATGGAGAGTGCTCGCTCAAGTCATGGATCAAGTGACTTAAAGGGCCGTTTTCAAAGAAAACTAAAAGTGTTTAAGCAACCAAGGAAGTGAGTCCTACCTGGCCACTGGACAACATTCAGTGACAGTGCACTTGCTGGCATCTCCGGTGGGCAGAGCCCTGATCAGTAGGGTGAATAAGGGATCTTGTCTCCTCCGTACTTAATGAGAGTGGTGTATCTGTCAGTCATGTCTGCACATAAAACACCAGGTAGGTCCCATCATGGCTGTCACAGATATCTGCTTCTTGGGCTTCCCCTCTGGGTCCTTCAGGAGAAAACAAAAACTGTTACCTAAATATCAATGCTTTGAATACATTATTGTGTGCTCCACGTTCATGCACTCACAGTGATCTGCACTGCCAGCAGTCCCTCACCTGCATCTTTGGCATCAATGGTGACCTTCACTGGCAGAGAGGTGGGCGCTCCAGTGGTGTTAAGGCCGGATCCACTTGCACGCACCTTGCTGGTATCATGGGTGGGCAGCACCTTCACCTTGTAAGGGCGGACCAAAGGGGAGAGAAGACAACTGGCTGTGGAATACAGTCTCACAAATGAAAGAGCCTTATTTACAGAACCGAGTAAACCACGCAAAGAGTTTTCCATTTTCAAAGCTGGCCAGAGTGGAACACTGTAACATGTAACACCTAGAAGGTTCAGATGGCTGCAGTACTTTGCTAATTTGGATCAAATGTTTGGGGGGAAAATGTAATTAAATCAAGTGATTGTAATGCTGTTACTTCCGTTGTGTAGTTAACCATCTATCATTTTAGATGTTCATTAGCAGCCTGATGAAATTAGCTGTGTAGTTAGCCGACTTCTGCCATCCAAACAGATGAGGTGAATTATGCAGATCACTAGCACAGTACACAGATTACCACTTCTTATTCCAGCCAGACTTCAGGTACTTCATTCGAATCATGCAGTAACAACAAAGATTTATTACTACTGGCTTTTTAAATTGTGCTTCTTCTGTTCTAGAAAAACAGAAACATGTGATCACAGGGTTTTGTTTTTTCAATGACATTTGTGTTGGTGTGTCGGTTGCAGGCAAACATTTATCATAATGGTTAGATATTAGGAAATAGCTTAAAATGTGTGCATATTTAACTTGTTGCACTGCCGTAGTGTTACCTGCGTGGATCTCCTCATGAGCATATGACTGTACCCTGGATGATGATATGTGAGGAGCTTGAACTTGATTCGCTAACAGAAACTAATTTGGCTAGCTTAGCGCACATGTCTTGTGGCAAGATATATGCACTTAAATGTTTTAAGTCATGGCTGTTCTGCCAAATTGCCACCAACCTGCAACTTTGTGAGCTGACTGTTTCGCGATTTTTGTGTTTTAGACAACAAAAAGAAAGAAAAAGATGTACAGATCCAGCTTTTCCTTACTGTGGTAGTCGCATAGAATGACGTCACTGACACTGGTTTAATATGAAAACAAACTTTGCAAAAAAAAGAAAGAAGAAGAAGTGAGTCGGCGTGTCATCTTTATCGAGCACCATACATGTTTTGCCTCACATTAAAATTATTATTTTGCCTTTTCAAAAATAATTTATATTCAGAGAAGTCAAATATAGCAAATTTGTACAGCTTACACGGCGGGCAGGTGGCGCAGAACACTTGCCGGCCCCTGGCAACTTCAAGCACAGACAGGCCCTGGTTCGAGCCTCGGCTCGAACACACTCACTGAGTTCAGGTCCTATCTGTGTCTTCAGTCTGCTAGGGGGATTCCTGGTCTGCGCAGGGAATCCCAATCCTTTTTTTTTTCTTTTCTTTTTTGGGCTGTTGGGGCCTGTATTTACAAAGCTGGGACTATCTCCGTTGTCATGGCTACCAAGAACAACGCCAGCTTGGGGGAGAGCGGAGAGCCGATAAGCAAACACTCATTCATCCTTTCTCCTCTTTCGTTTCACAGCTGCTGCGGTGGGAAACGCTGGGACTTGTGTGGCTATGCAGTTTTTGCATTGTTGGCAACTTTTAAGGACCAGCCCTTGAATTTTACAGATTTGATAAGTGAAGCCTGGATATATAGTGAAGAGAGCTGGGATAATCTGGACAGAATCTGCAGGCTGCATCTCCAAATCACAAGTGGCTTTAGATCTGACTCTTACAGACAGGCATGCATGTCTCAGGGTGATTACACACTAACACATTGTGATTAATCACACACATTTGTATAAATTTTATTAACAAGATAAAAAAAAAAAACACTATACAAAATATGTTTTTGTGACAGGCCGCTAGTAACAAAGTGCTTAAAGATTTCAAATTGGTTCTTTCCCAAGTTTTCTGTTATCTGTACACATATTCCTTGAATTAGGTGCTTTTTAATTCTCCAATAATGGTCAGTGCAAAGTGTTTACACACACAAACAAAACAAACAAGTGTTTACACAAACAAACAAACAAAAAACATTACTCAGAAAATGGTCAGGTACAAGAACTGGATTAAAAAGGATTGGAAAAAACAGATAATGTCCAATGAAATACTTTAGCGTGTGGCTCATGACTTTTGCACAGTACTGTAAATGTTATTAATAATGAAAGATATAAAGATGTAGCTTTCCCATTTTTAAAAAATTCCCATACACATTATTCTTTTCTTCTAGTGAAGGTGCCTCCTCCTTCAGACCTTAGGATAACTAATTTCTCAGACAGTGACATCACGGTGCGCTGGGAAGCTGCAGATGATGATGATGTTTCTTACCTCATTAAGTGGATCTCCCTAAGTGGAGGCGACCTGAGGCAGGTGGGGAAGAACTATTGAGTTGTTGGAGTACATATTATGAAATAAAAAATACAATATCTCAATAAACTGTTGTCCTGTGTCTTAAGGAGTATCAGATATCACTGTCTGCACTCTATGGAGATGGAGCTCAGAGTGAAGCTGTGGCCGTACGCTATAGCACCTGTGAGTCACACATTTTAACTATATCAGCTGCTGGTGGGAGCAGGCTCTCATGGATCTTTCTGGATATTTGCAGCGGGGACATGCTGGGGTCATTTTGGAGCAGGTTAATTTGTGTGCGCCACGTGTCATAATCAGTTTTGTTGTTAGGTCTGGGAACCTTACCGGAGAAGGTACGGAGTCTAACCTGGGACTGGATGTGTTTGACATCTTGCCTTCGTACGATATGCTCTACCACGACCTTCTGAATGTCAGGTGGATTCAAATCACTTACTGAAAGGGACGCACAGGCTTAAGCAGACAAAGAAGGAAATCGGGTAAACCCTCCAGCACTCATTTCTGTGTCCATTTTGGGCTAAAAACAAAAACACCTCATAACTACCTGTGGATGCTGGCTGAGCCTCTGAAGGTTGAGTGATATGTCATTAAGCAGGTAGTCAGAGTTCTCATTGATCAGTTCCTTGAGGGAAGTGTATCCACAGGCCTTACTGATGTCCTACATGGAGCTCAGCGCCGCCTGGCTCACCAGCAGTGTCTCCTCACCAGCTTTCTCCAGCACAGGATACAGCGAGGCCATCAACAAGGCACAGAAATTGCGGCCCACTGGCTGAGCACAGCAGGCGATTCCCCCGAGTTGGATGCACAGCTGACAGATGTTGCTGTTGAGCTAATGGATCATGGATGCAGATGTTGATGATGAAGGAATCACTTGGAGAGAGCTTGTATTTGAGTTGCTGGCATCACTGTTGTATATCGAGGGGAGTCTGGATGGACCGAGCAGCTACGCAAAGAGACAAAACCTGTGTTAAAGCACTGCTTTCTAACCACTTTTACACATGCACTGCAGCTCTGAAGTTTTCAAGATATTGTCCATGCACGTGAGAACGCAAATGTCTGACACAGTTAGATCAAACATTAAACAGCCTTTAGCCTTCCTGCTCCTGAGTGAAAGCCTGTATTATATCTGACTGTGCTCATGTGGGGATAAGACAGATTAGCCTTTTCTCAAAGTGAAGAGTGGGGGCCAATTTAGGATCTTCACTCAAATTTAAAATACAAGGGAAACTGATGTATTTCCTTAAATAAACAAAAACCACACAAGCGCTTATAAAATGCTCATCCTACCCAGTCATATGCAAAGTGTTAGAATCAACGTGTGATCCACCTGCCACTAAGAGATATTATTTCTCTTTGGTAGATGGAAAAAATGGAATCAAACTCACTGTCAGTAGCTACAACAGCACATTTGTTATAATATGATGAATCAAGCATTTAGATATTAAATAGTATTGAGGGAGACAGGATCAAATACAGTGGGGCAAAAAAGTATTTAGTCAGCCACCAATTGTGCACGTTCTCCCACTTAAAAATATGAGAGAGGCCTGTCATTTTCATCATAGGTATACCTCTAACTTGTCCGAGTTTTAAAGAACTGATTTGCAAATTATGGTGGAAAAGAAGTATTTGGTCACCTCATTTTTTGCCCCACTGCGTAATATACAAAGATATTTGTGGCAACTCGATGTGCTTTGTCCACTTTTATTATCGGATTGCTCTGTTAACCAAAGGGAATACCTCAGTTTATTGTATGTTTGACTATAATTTACAAAAAGACTAAAGCATCATTTCTTATCTTTTCTACAATAACTATGAAATGAACAAATGGAGAGTGCTCGCTCAAGTCATGGATCAAGTGACTTAAAGGGCCGTTTTCAAAGAAAACTAAAAGTGTATAAGCAACCAAGGAAGTGAGTCCTACCTGGCCACTGGACAACATTCAGTGACAGTGCACTTGCTGGCATCTCCGGTGGGCAGAGCCCTGATTCAGTAGGGTGAATAAGGGATCTTGTCTCCTCCGTACTTAATGAGAGTGGTGTATCTGTCAGTCATGTCTGGCACATAAAACACCAGGTAGGTCCCATCATGGCTGTCACAGATATCTGCTTCTTGGGCTTCCCCTCTGGGTCCTTCAGGAGAAAACAAAAACTGTTACCTAAATATCAATGCTTTGAATACATTATTGTGTGCTCCACGTTCATGCACTCACAGTGATCTGCACTGCCAGCAGTCCCTCACCTGCATCTTTGGCATCAATGGTGACCTTCACTGGCAGAGAGGTGGGCGCTCCAGTGGTGTTAAGGCCGGATCCACTTGCACGCACCTTGCTGGTATCATGGGTGGGCAGCACCTTCACCTTGTAAGGGCGGACCAAAGGGGAGAGAAGACAACTGGCTGTGGAATACAGTCTCACAAATGAAAGGAGCCTTATTTACAGAACCGAGTAAACCACGCAAAGAGTTTTCCATTTTCAAAGCTGGCCAGAGTGGAACACTGTAACATGTAACACCTAGAAGGTTCAGATGGCTGCAGTACTTTGCTAATTTGGATCAAATGTTTGGGGGGAAAATGTAATTAAATCAAGTGATTGTAATGCTGTTACTTCCGTTGTGTAGTTAACCATCTATCATTTTAGATGTTTCATTAGCAGCCTGATGAAATTAGCTGTGTAGTTAGCCGACTTCTGCCATCCAAACAGATGAGGTGAATTATGCAGATCACTAGCACAGTACACAGATTACCACTTCTTATTCCAGCCAGACTTCAGGTACTTCATTCGAATCATGCAGTAACAACAAAGATTTATTACTACTGGCTTTTTAAATTGTGCTTCTTCTGTTCTAGAAAAACAGAAACATGTGATCACAGGGTTTTGTTTTTTTCAATGACATTTGTGTTGGTTGTGTCGGTTGCAGGCAAACATTTATCATAATGGTTAGATATTAGGAAATAGCTTAAAATGTGTGCATATTTAACTTGTTGCACTGCCGTAGTGTTACCTGCGTGGGATCTCCTCATGAGCATATGACTGTACCCTGGATGATGATATGTGAGGAGCTTGAACTTGATTCGCTAACAGAAACTAATTTGGCTAGCTTAGCGCACATGTCTTGTGGCAAGATATATGCACTTAAATGTTTTAAGTCATTGGCTGTTCTGCCAAATTGCCACCAACCTGCAACTTTGTGAGCTGACTGTTTCGCGATTTTTGTGTTTTAGACAACAAAAAAAAAG